TTCAAACCGGACCACCTCCACCCAACCCTCCTCCTCTTGTTTCTCGCTTGCAAAACGCAGCCGTTGAACAACCGGCCGGCACGTTCAGCGAGAGTAAATCCGGGGAGAAAATGTTCGAGCCATCGAAAGACGGCGGTTCGATCGTTCGAATCTCGATTGGCTCGAAATTTCCTTCATTTTAAGAAGAGAATCTTTGTGTCGGTTTCAGAAAAGAATATATTCCGGTTTGAGGAGAACGGAGGATTCGTTTTCAGAAGAGGACCTTTTTCATTTTCAGAAGACAATCTGTTTCCTTTTCAGAAGATAATCTATTTCGTTCTCAGACGAGAATCTGTGTGTTGGTTTCAAAAAAGAATCTGTTCCGTTTTGAGGAGAGCAAAGGTTTCGTTTTCAGAAGAGAATCTAGTACTTAGTTTTCAAAAGGGGATCTATTTCGTTTTCAGAAGAAGATTTACATATTTCGTTTTCCGAAGAGTATCAGTTTCATTTTCGGAAGATCTGTTTTACTTTCAGCAGAAAATCTGTTTTATTTTCAGCAGAAAATCTGCTTCGTTTTCAGAAGAGTACACATCTGTTTCGTTTTCAGAAGAGTACATATATGTTTCATTTTCAAAAGAGTTTTCGAGAAAATTATTTCGTTCTCAGAAGATAATCTATTTCGTTCTCAAAATATAATCTGTTTCGTTTTCAATAGAGACCCTATTTCGTTTTCAGAATAGAATCTTCTTCGTTGTCGAAAGATAATGTGTTTCGCTATCAGAATAGGATCTAGCGTCGAATATTCTCGGAGACGCTGAAGCTGCATGTCTGGCAAAAGAGAGAAATAACGCCACCAACACGAATATAATTAATAGGGAGCAGTGGATCGTACTGGATTCACCGTTTCCCGGACTGTATTTTCATGTGGCGGGCGTTGGTGAGTTGTAGAGCGTAAATAAGAAGAAATGAGAATAACACAGAGAGTATCTTCTCTACCGGGGATCGTCTCTCATAACAGAAAATACCGTAAAAGTTCAGAGAATTCAGAGAAATGAGAGGAGCATCTCTGGACGAAAACGATTCTTCAGCGAGTCTATTTCATTTCATCTCCGGTTTCGCCTAATTTATTAGCCTAAATTATTTAGTAACGTATAATTCATCACTAATGCATTATAAGGTACCGATTCACAACCTGTATAATTATCGATGTAAACACAAGACTAATTATAACAATCGTAATTTCATCGATCAAACAACACGGTAGTGTCGCGTTTTCATTAACCCGAGTGCACATTGGTTGACCACTGCTTGATAACTCACAATTATTAGCTTTCGTCGATATTTGCTGATCGATAGTATGACTGATTATAAACGGAGAAACGAATTGTTCTGAACAGCGACAGAAAAATAACTTCAACAATTTGAAACAAACATTTTCTCCCTGCTTTACTTCTTCAATTTTTTTTAAGGTTGGTGGAAAACAAATTATCGTTTAAACGCACGATTAAAGGCTTTGAACACAGACTTTAAACATAAATTGCTAAACACAAGTTCTTCTCCAATCATTTTTGGAGAGGGTGACAAAGATTATAGTTTGTAGAATCACTGTGAACAACATTTTCGACCACCTAGTGCGAATGTCCTAATTACTACCAGTGTCCCTAATACTACCACTTTAATTAATTAGCCGAATTTGTACTATTTCACTTTGGAGGATCATCAAGGATGATTAATCGAAAAACATTGTTTTCGTCTGTGCTTCATCCAAAGTGATCTTCCTCATCCAAAGTGAATATGGATTTGACCAATTCTTACTATTTTTTTACGGTCATTACTGGTTGGTTTACAATCACACATCTTTAAACGGTTCATCTTTGCGAAACCTTAAACGACATAAATTTTTCCTATTATCACAGCTCCGCTATAAAAAAAACCAAAGAAGGATATTTTTGAGCAGCATTTATCGCCGCTTCGATCGATGCTCTTATAATTTCTATCGCAGCTGCAACATAAACGTACCCTAATCAGTCACGATTCACGCACGTGGCGTAGCGTGCGAAATCAGATCGTGTTTCTATGGCTCGTTAAATATTTCAGGGTCGTCGACGCGTCGACAACTTCACTTTTGGCCCGCCACGAAATGGGAATTCTTCGTTAACGATGTAGCCGGGCCTGTCGGCGTTACTTAATTTATCGGACGGACCGGCTGTGGATGGAAACAACTGGTTATCGATGGAAATCGATGTTCGTTTGCTCAACCGTTTTATTCGCCGTGTGTAGCTTAACGAGGGAAAACGATTACCGAGTGATTTACCGCTGGCGAGCGCGACCGCTAGATTCTGAAATTCATTTCTGCCTGTTTGAAACGACACGCAAATATGATGTTTACGGAATTATTCGCAGCGCCTCCGAATCTATCATCGAACGATTGTTCGATTCAAGCCCATTCGGGCGAGGCAACTTTTGTCACTGCGTGTTTTTCGTGCAGATACAGATTTTCTGGGCAAAGTTAGATTACTGTTACATGACAATTGTTAGACAATTGTTGTTACAGAGTGATAAAAATCAGATATTACAGAATTTACATGAATTATAGGGAATTATGTTTTGATTATTTTATGTAAATTCTATGGAATTATAATATTACAGCGTTTTATTTCCCGGTAATACTACATGTCTGACCATTCCTACTCATTTCTACTTATTCCACGGTACCGTCACGTCATTCGTCTTGTATAACAATCGAATATGACCTGACAATTGGAAAATTCTTAAGCAATTACATAGTACAACCATTAACAATTATTACAACTAAAAATAATAAGTTATTTGTAACAAATTTAAAGTTTTAAAAAGTTATTTGTACATTAAGGAATACTAGTTGTATTCGAATACACACGCACTAACGTAACTTCCAAACAGATTTCCTCCAAAACTCTACATCAAAAAATTATCATTCACACAAAGCAACGATTCAGATTTTCAAATTGCTCGCGACCAAATCCTACACAAAAATGTCAAAACTTCCTTTTGCAACCGACAGAGTCTCGCGCGAGTAAAACGAAATTTCACTGTTTCGATATTAATCGAACGGAAGAAAATTCTGCGCTGCCTCAGTCTTGTACAGGTAAATTCGACAGGTGATATACGCGCGAGAAAAAAAAAAGAACAGACTTATCGACGCGTTCTCCGTGGATGGAGATGATGATATTCCAACGGGCCATAGCCGCTCGATTTGAACACCAAATGCAGGTCATAGACTCGTAGTTAACTGCTGAATCGCAATAGGAGCTTTTTACATTTGACCCGAATCGAGCCTGGCATACAGATACGAACCGCCCCGCGCACATAATATTTTCATGGAACATCTAATACAACTTGCTCTGGCCAAGTTATACGTATATACACATATATCTTCGGGCTTTCATGTTATTCCATCACTGTTTACGCGATCTATTGCTTAAATTCTCGTTCGACTCCGTTCAGGGGTACATCTACACGATACACATCAAACGAATCTCATTCATAACTTTAAGAAAGAATTCCTTGTACGGGTTGCCGGTTTCTCATGATTAAAAACTTCCAGGCCAGAATTCATAGAATCTAAAAAATGAGTTATTTTTCAGTCGAAATTCAAATGTTCGTGTTATACTATATATTTCAATTTCATTTTCAATTTCTGATCAAAAAGATAAGGATATTTCACCGAATAGAATGCTGAGAATCTAACGTGGTCTGTGACGAACATTTTCGAAATAATGGGGTGGTACCGAACGTGTTAACCATTAAGAAATATTTACCATAAAAAATTGATAGAACGAAAAATAATGAGGACATATAAATCGGAATTGCATGAAAATGTTTAAACTCGATTGTTATTCTGAAAGTACGTGATATATTCTGAGTGTGCGAGTCACTGTAAAATGTGTACAATTTTTTATTTTATTCTCGTTCGGGATGACAAGAGCAATTTTATTCGCAAAATTTCAAATATTTCCTGGAGTGCAATTTTTTTGGTTGCAGCTGGAGCATAACGTTATTTCGTCTAGATGAATTGTGAATTTTACGTGGACAAATTTTCATCATGGAAACAGACAACCAAAAATCTGAATGATAAATGCGGATCGTTAAATGCGACCAGAATGAGAATGAGAAGTATTTAGCGTGATTCAAGTTTATAGGGAAAGTTATAGTGGCAATTACACTGGAGACAGTTTATTATGCAATATGTCCTCCGAAAAATATGTATTGTATACACTTCTTGTATAAACATACTTTTATTTCACAAAATCAAAGTCGTAGTTTCAGATTGTTGAGCCTAAAGAAAAATACTGTTCCTGAATAACCAGACAATAAAAACAAAAACAACAGAACATCTCATCGTTAAACTTTACTTTTTATAATAATCGTTACGATAGTTTTTATTTTTTCTGTTTCTAACACTTGTATCGTTCTACCATATTGCAATTCAATAAATAATAGAAACATGTCATTACTGGTATTATTATCTCTGGAATATCTATTAGATATACTACATAATCAGTAATACACTATTTCATGAAGAAATCAGTATTCGTTTCTATAAAATTCAAAATTTCTACTGTTCCATTTCTATTCATAACGATCTCTGAACACTCTACATCATTGTTACTCATTGCCAGTGGAAGGTTAGAAAAGTACCTTCAATTTAAAATATATCATACTATAATTAAAAAAAGAATAATGAATTACTTACTGTACACCTAATAATTTTCATCCATAAATACACAAAAAGATCTACCATAATCCACCCCAAAATTCACCTATACATATCCGTTATTCGATGTAAAAAAAAAACCATTGAATGGCCAACAAACTATGGGTTCAGTATGGCCGACCTGTCGTCAACGCTCAGTTCACCTCTTAAGTCTTAGTCAACATATACTTTCGTATCGAATTATTACCGATCAATTTATTATTACGCAACGTCTACGTGAAATTATTTTCCTCGTTTTTTCCAAAATTATCATAAATCGACTCACCGTGATTCCCGTCGAAGAAGCCTAAACTCGACTGGCGGCCGCAAAACCAGGCGGTTGTGGTAATTAATTGGAGAACAACCGTCGTGGCTTCGGGACAATAGCTGTTCAGCCGCGTATTAACCTGTCCGATCGCATTGTCACCAGTCCGAAACTGTTTTCCGTCGACACAATACGAACTCCGTGCTCTCACTTGCCGGACACAGAGGCTCCCTAACGATCAAACATGGTCCCGTACACCCGTATATCACGAACCACCGACGACTGTAAACTGGCTCCCCCAAAGGATCACTATTACCGTACACAAAACGATTCCGTCCGGGTACCCTCACTTCACAGATATCGTAGATAGTCAAACCATAACACCAACACAAAAACCTCAGCGGAAAGTCACGGTCAAATTCCGCGGAACCCTCTCCAGAGTATCAACATCTGCACAATATTTTCTACGCGCCCGATCGGCAGGTCCATACAACACTTTGACCGCGAGACGTGAAAACGAAAACAGTCGTTGGTAATTCTCGGTGAATCACACACCGTGCCAACACCATAAAACTAACCAATCAAAGTAACTACTTACAGAACTTCGACGAACGAACCACGATTCCTGTCACAAAACACGCGAGATCTTCATTGTTTCCAATATTCTCCAATCTTCTAATTGAACGTATCTTTCATATATAATCCTCGATGACGAAAGCTCCGAATGTTCCAATTTGATGAAAGGTCCGATCACTGTTTTTTTTTTTTTTTTTTTTTTTTTTTTTTTAAAAAAGGTGAACACGTTCACGAACACTGTATCTTCGAGGATCGATCGGTTCGAGGCAATCGTGCGGTCGCGTTGGATCGATCGTCAAACGATGCAGCGGCGTGTTCGCTGCGGACGATCGGTCATGACCAGCCGAGACCGTCGCGGAGATGATTCTTCGGCGAACAGTTGAACGAAACTGGCACCGGGTGCCTCGCACCGCGCGCCACTACGAAAAGGGTCACCTGGCCCCCCCGGAGAAGAGCGTTCAGTGGCGCGTCGCGTCGCGGCGCGCGTCTCTCCGTGCGACGCGCGAGTCGAACTAGCGGAAACTCTCCAACGCCGCCGGGCGTAAGTTTACGCGTTACGAACCCTCGCGCTGTCACGAACAGCGCGCGAAAACTGACGCGCGGGATATGCTTTGTCGCGGTCCTATCGAGGCAGCCCCGTGTCAAACGAGACTCTGTGTGTATTGTAAACATAACTGGCGGGAACTATAGAGAAAAGGGCCTATCACTACCTTGCAAAGGATCACTTACCTACTGTATGAGGTATTGCTCCCTATTAATGTGCCATTAAATTTTGTGTGGGCAACCAAAATATTCACGGTTATTGAGCCATCGGTATACCCCTGTTCTGATAGATTAGATAATTTTACTTTCATACTTTTTCGAAAGTCTCAGTTTTTCCTTTCTATAATATACAAAGTGCTGTTTCAGACAAGAACATAAAAAATTGTGAAAGAAAGGTAGAAATGGGTACTTGAGTACCCGGGTATCCGGTTGCCTACGCAAGGGTTAAAATTTATATTTAGTTTTAAACTTTCTTTTTCGGTATGGAATTTTTCTCGAGTTAAGAAGATTATTTTTTTCATAAGCTTTGTGGTTGTAGAAGTGCTGTGAACGTATTAAGGGAAAGGCGCATAGCCCCGGACGGTGCACAGTGGTCTCAAAATGCGTTTTTAGTAGCCAAAAGTCGAAATGTCATTGAAACTTTCTAAAAGTTGGTAATTAAGAGTTTTTGAGATCACTAACAACGAATTTGACACCGAAAATTTGAAATTCAAGATGGCGCATTCAATAATATTTGCACATTTACCAAACTTTAGAGGAAAGAAAATCAGAGCCGTAAAAGCCATGCAACTTTGGAACCTTTGAGTAAGAATTTAACGAGGAACAATGGCTACCTTTTACACTGTTTGGTTCAGAACAAAATATCGACTTAATATCATTTTTACACTATTATTTTAAAAAATAAACGACTTAGAGCGAAATAATTTCTACCATCGAAAGCAGTGGAAAATTTGATACAGAATAAATGTAAAATGTCATTTTTTTTTTTTAAATTCATTTAAAACAGTCCGGCTCTGGGGTCCAGATATTAATTCCTCAGTTTCGTATAACGCGGCAATTTCTAGGATCTAATCACCGTGTTATACGGGGATTACCTGTACTCATAATACTTTTACACAAATAAGCAACTAAATTCAAAGAAGAACATACGACGCTCCCGTGTAACCCCAGTTGTTATCCCATACCCCACATCCGGAAACTCAATTATAGTTACACGAGGAAAGCTGCAACTTCACTCTACTCGAAACGCATGCATCATCCTGCGCGTACAGTATCAAGAATCGCGGCGCACCGTCGGGTACTGGTAACGTTATCCAAGTGAACGAAATTACGAAGAAACATACGAAGGAACGCAAAAGTTCAAGGGACCGACGCGACGTTACCACGTCGGGTGTCGCAACCACGCGTGCTGCTAGATGAAGTTACGCTATCAAACTGTGCGAAAAGTGAAATAAAATTATAACGCGGACATACAGAACACCAAGGTGTCCGGAGTGTCACTATGACGATAGTTCCAACGACGAACTAGACAGGAATAAATTGAAGGAAGTGAATCGCGTAGAAGATAAAAGCACAGATAAGATATAAGAATAGACCTAACATGCAATGTAATTTTCTGTCCCATGCTTTGGGGGCGTCAGAAGCCCCCGTACCATTTCAATATTCTATTCCTTGCTAACGAAACCGGGATAATGATGTATGTGTGTATCGATATATGCAATTACGGGTGTGTTTATGCTGTTTATTAACTTTTATGTGGAATGCGTTCGAAACAGCATGATTATCGTGGGACACCAAGTCCCATAAGACGTTAGGTCTATTCTTATATCTTGTTTGTGATAAAAGCTTTGACTGCGACACGTGAAACTTTCGACATCTAGCCACAGCGAAACATCTCTTAAATAATCGGTTTGCGTCGCGAGAAATGAGAAAATTTTATTCTTTTTGTTTCTATCTATTTGTTTACAAAATCACCTGCTGCTAGTTGTACTACCTGATCTGAAACATCCTGTATAAATAGAGAAGTTTAAAAGAAGGAAAGTTGCTGTTATAAGTTATAAAACAGCAACCAGGAAAAAAAAAGTGCCAACGATACGCGGTGTTCCCAAGCGGTCACCCATCCAAGTACTAACCACGCTCAATGCTGCTTAACTTCAGTGATCGGACGAGAACTGGTGCTTTCAGCGTGATATGATCGTTGACTATTATTTAGCAATTTCTTAGGCATAGACGGGTTGTCTCGAGTTTGGCATTACAATTAAGAGGACGTGATTCTATAAGAAAAAAGGAGTCATAAAGAAAGAATACATGTTTATCATTTGAGGTTTCATTTTCGAGAAAACTGTGCTTGAATATTCATCTAAAACACGAGTAGGTGATAAGTAGAAACGGCCTACAATGAACAGACGCGCCAGACAATTCTGATTCTACTGCCGTTGTATCCAACAAATTTTCAACCTCGATTATCTCGAAAATGAAGCATCACACGATAAAATTTTATTTTTATCTTTCGACTTATTTTTTCTTATAGAATCACCTACAGCCAGATTGTACTACTCAACCTGAAAAATCCTTTATAAATAGAAAGGTTTAAAAGAAGGAAAGTTGCTGTTATACGTTATAAAAACAGCAACCAGGAAAAAAAAAGTGCCAACGATACGCGGTGTTCCCAAGCGGTCACCCATCCAAGTACTAACCACGCTCAATGCTGCTTAACTTCAGTGATCGGACGAGAACTGGTGCTTTCAACGTGATATGATCGTTGACTATTACTTAGCAATTCCTGAGACACAGACGATACCAAATACGCGTTGTCTCAGGTAAAGTAGTACAATTAGAAGGGGGTGATTCTATAAGAACAAATAAGTAGAAAAGAAAGAATAAATTTTTTTCGTTTGACGTTTCATTTTCGAGGAAATTGTGTTTGAATGTTCATCTAAAACACGAGTAGGTAATAAGTAGAAACGACCTGCAATGAACAGACGCGTCAGGCAAGTCCTATTCTACTGCTGGTGTATCCAACAAATTTTCAAACTCAATTTTCTCGAAAATGAAGCATGACACAATACAATTTTATTTTTGTTTTTCGACTAATCTTTTCTTATAGAATCACCTACAGCCCGGTTGTACTATTCGACCTGAAACATCCTGTATAAATAGAGAGGTTCAAAAAAAGGAAAGTTGCTGTTGTAAGTTATAAAACAGCAACCAGGAAAAAAAAGGTGCCAACGATACGCGGTGTTCCCAAGCGGTCACCCATCCAAGTACTAACCACGCTCAATGCTGCTTAACTTCAGTGATCGGACGAGAACTGGTGCTTTCAACGTGATATGATCGTTGACTATTGCTTAGCAATTCCTGAGACACAGACGGTACCACATACGCATTGTCTCAGGTCAGGTAGTACAATTACCAGGGGGTGATTCTATAAGAACAAATAAGTAGAAAAGAAAGAATAAATTTTGTTCGTTTGACGTTTCATTTTCGAGGAAATTGTGTTTGAATATTCGTCTAAACCACAAGTATGTAATAAGTAGAAAATAAGTCGAGAAGAAAGAATAAAATTTTATCCTGTGATGCTTCGTTTTCGAGATAATTGAATCTGAAAATTTGATGGATATACCGACAGTAGAATAGGACTTGTCTGACACGTCTGTTCATTGCAGGCCGTTTCTACTTATTGGTCACACGTGGTTCCGATGAATATTCAAACCCAATTTTCTTGAAAATTAAACCTCGAATGAAAAAAATGTATTCTTTCTGTTTGACTTAAATCTATCTAAATAAATAATATCAACTCATATTGAAATAACACAACACCACTCATTGAGTTAGTAGTGAAACCAGATATACACTGTACATAATAAGTATATTCTACACATTCCACCCAAGTTAGAATTGTACAAAAAACTACAGGGCGATATACGTAATATAGCACTCGACATAAAATATTAAAAGCATCCAATTATATGCCTGTCATTGTACACGTCCAAATGACAAACCAAAGATGGAACCTGTCATTTCGTCGGGCAAATACTTCAAAGATTCACCGACGAACCTCCGCACCCTCGTTCAATCCCGAGGCGTGAATCGAATTATAAGCCCGATGAACTATTGAAGCGTTCCAACGTAAAACCACCTCATACTCGAAACGCAATTTATTCACCTGGATGGTGTAGATTTTGCACGTGCTGGCGACAACACTTCCACGGTCCGCGGTTACAATGCATCACGGGAATGCTCGACATCCAAAAATTCCTGTTGATCGCGACATAACCTCGAAAATGACAGTCGCCGTGTGGATCAAGCTCCATGGACCAACACACTTCAATGTGTCGACCTTTCGAACACCATATATGCCCGGGAGGTGCACACGACCGATATACCCGGGACGATCAAGTCATTGAATAACACACGGGCATGTTGATCTCCTTC